GATGGATGGATGGATGAAAGTTTGGGTTGGGTTTTAATGGGATGGAAGGATAGATGAACCAATAAGTATTACTATTACATCATTCTAATAGAAGAACTTCTTTAAATACAATTTAATATGAATATTAGTCAAATAATACGACGTATTACATCAATAAAATTAAATAACAAGCTCAGATAATCCCATTTGTTTCTTTATCTCCTTTTTGACAGATAACAGCCACGGATTCCTTAAAAAGATCTAGCGAGGCACTAAAGAGAAAGGCTCGAGTCAAGGGTTACCAAAGCGACACACCGTTAAAACTGGAAGAAACTGCGCAAGTTGTCTTTACTGGGATCTCGCACACTTTTTCTGCATCCGAATCGACGACCCAGGACTACCTAGATCAAGGTAAGGGGATACTTACAGTTAGAGTGAACAGAGAGGAGCATAACCTACCCTGTCTGTCAGAGACTCTCTCAATCTAGTGCTTATGGTCATAGGTGTTTCTCGCGGTATCGAAACCTAGAATAAAGAAGCACTAGAACGAGGAAGCCTCTGGCAATCAGGATGTAGATACTAAAATTAAGCCTTAAAATCATGTTGCTTTTTCATACCTAAAGAATGTATAAACCTCGATCTACCTTGAGCATAATGTTTTCCATATCAGGCCATGTGTCATTCTCTAGAGTATCGTTTCTTTGTTTAATAGTTACGCATGAGGAGAGACATGAATATGAATACAACTAAGTCATAATGTCATAATTAAGAGAATGACCCGTGGTGTTGAAAATCACTTTCACCTCAACCTCACTTGGTCTCAAAGCAAAGTAGCCCTTCATAATAACAACCAAAGTGAAGGAATACTTTCTCATAAAAAAAATAAAAATATATCCAGAAAAATTATTTTATGTTGTTTTATTTCAGTGCTTGAAAACCTTGGAAAGACAGGTCCAAAATCACGTGACTGGTCTGTACGAATCAGAGAATGGAAAGGAGAAGACGTAAGTTATTTATACCGCAGACCACAGGGAGCCCGATCTCACTCGTGCAGCTATGCACGAAATACTAACTCAATATAGTAAGAAAAGCGAACGATTATTTTCTTAATGTGTAGTCGGTTTTAGTGCTATTTATAAACAACACAAGTGATAGATTGGGCTCCCTGTGCCTTGTGACTTAGGAAAGTAATGCTTCTGTGGGGTTGTCATAGCAACTATAAACAACCCTTGAAAGAGTTTCCAACTTTTTTTTTTTCAAACTTCTGTGGAATAATTTTTCTCTGTTATCTGAATCACATCTTATTTATGTTGGTTCTCAAACATTCATGCTAGAGAAAAGTATAATACTTAAGGGGAAAGATGGCACTTTTACCATATTGCTTGTGCTTACAAGGAAATTTTAGGAACTAAATATGATTAAAATATATTTATATGAGTCTGCATTGTCCATGTAGTCAGCAGATGCTGCCCAGAACGTAGTAAGTACTCTCTACGGCGCCATTAACCAGCTGTCAGATGCCATTCAGGAAAACAAAGTCCAAGGAGAAAACGAGACGTTAGTCACTACCAAAACTTTTGGGATGCAGCTATCAAAGACTGTCTGGAATTCCATCGGTAATAATAGTCTTCCTGTTCGTGGCGAGGACGGAAAACAAGTTGGTTCGTTTGTTTTGCCAAAAGTAGACGATCTGATGTCTGGAGCTGAAGTAGGGACTGATGAGACGATAGGCATACAGGTTGGTGTGTTTAGGCCACGCGCAGCATGTCGGTATACACCTCAATTTGAAGAATATAACAATAGGCTTCCAATTCTCAGGATATTGATTTCTTTTGTTTTGTCTTCCAAATTGAACTGCTTTGAGGTCACTTGCAAAGGATCTATCGAAGGTCAAAGAGTGTGTGGGACTTGCACTTTTCAGTGGATCCTGGGATCCTCGACCCAGAACCCACACTAATATTGTGCCCTTCACCCTCACTCCTGTCCCTATGAACCCATGGTTCGAAAAATTTGAATTAACACATACCACCCTTAGACCCTTGGCACCCATGACCCTTTGAACCATGTGACAGAAAACCTATGACTTTAGACCCCTTGACCCCTAAACCTTTAGACCCCTAGACACCCATGACCCTTGGAACCATGTGACAGAAAACCAATGACTTTAGACCCCT